TAGGCCTACTCTCTTTGACCTATTAGTTATTGCCGAATTTCGACGGAATTTACAGGAAACTGCCTACATCCAACATACGCTGCCGGCTGCCATTGCTCTCGCGGCGCGACTGTTGCACGCTTACACTAATATATATAGCAGGTAGGAAAGCGTGCTGCCAAAATTCGCTCGACGCTCGCTTCATTTGACACTTTCACGGCATGAATACACATCCAACAGCTTCCATCTTTGTTTCTCCTTCAACAACAGTGTTCACTTGTTATAAAAACATAATGTCTCTGTTCGTAACCGAGCTGTGTCATGCGAAATCACACAAAGACTGACGAAATTCTCGCGTTCGCGAACCTTGCCCAGTAATGGAAATGGCTGTCAGAATCAGGAAACACCTACCGGCGCTCTTCGTGACCTCATTCTTGTGCCGCAACGCTGCAACGTTTTTGCAACGTTCCAATGGCGAGGCTCGTACAGGAGTTGGAAAGCAGTGCGCCGCCTGTGCGCCGCTTATAGCCCATAGACTGGCACTCGCTCCCACCTCTCGGCTTAGCTTAGTCACTCAATGGGTAATCGAGGTGGGAGCGAGTCCCAGTCTATATAGCCTTTGTCCTTGCAGCCATTTCCATTACTGGGCAAGGTTCGCGAACGTGAAAATTTCGTCCGTCTTTCTGTGATTTCGCGTGACACAGCTCGGTTACGAACAGAGACATTATGTTTTTATAACAAGTGAACACTGTTCACGTCCCAAATGTCTGCCCTCTGTGTCCCCCACTAAAATTGCGGACTGTTCGCTGGCAGCTATGGATGCGTACGCCGGCCTATGCATTCGGCGCACATATTCATAGCTGCCAGCGCTACATACTGTCGTAGGACGTTCCCGCGGTCGCGTGCGCCTTGCCGCGGAACTGCGCTCAAGATCTGCGCTCAGCGCTTCGGATCAACACCTCCTTTCGGCAACGCTTCTCTAGTATCCCGTCTCATCTGGTTACTAGTTCCTTATTCGAATAAGGAACTGGGAACTGGGAACTGGGAACTGGGAACTGCTTTGCCTAGTTACTAGTTCCTTATTCGAATAAGGAACTGGGAACTGGGAACTGGGAGCTAACTTCCCTGACCCGTGCTGAGCTTTGTAATGGATGACCGCACGCGTAGCCACTGCGTAAACTTTAACTCTTGTAGTCTAGTCTACAAAGTCTTCTAGTCTGGTCTAGAAGTTCTAATCTGCATAGATAGTAAAATCTAAGTTTCTATCACATAATTTCTGCTCTGCATGGATATTAAAATTGAAGTCTATTTTGCACAAGTCTTCTCCGGCACGGATGGGAATACTCTACTACAAGAGTAGTCTGCTACACGTGGACGGTAAACCTCAGTGTCACACAAGTTCTAATTGCTAGACCCGTACGCACAGCATGATGCACTCAGCACCACGATTCAACACAACCGGCAGTGAAGAGTGGCACACGACTAAATCGCCTAGGCTGGGTTTAGAGTCTGAGAGCATTTATCTGCTACTGTTACTTAGCACCGAGCGGTGCCAGCTTCCGACGCTCACTTCATCGACGTTTCAGCTTTCGTGGAATTCTCTGAGCTGGCTAAGAGGTTCAACGACTGGAGAGCTCGCGGACTGTTGTACGTGAGGCTGTCGCTGAGCTGCCACACCTTCACAACACCTTTTTTATCAGCCGAGGCCACAGTGTGATGCCTGCAAAAAACAGTTGAAACAGGTACAGCACTTTTACACTAAAAGTATTATTCAACAATTAGTAAAATTCTCGTCTATAAATCTAGCCACAGATAACCACAACATAACACTACTAGTTTGGGCAAATGTGTCTGTAAGCTAAAGACAACTTTCACAGAACAAAGAAAACATTCTGTGGAAAAACGCATGGATATATAATTTTAAGACTTTTTATTTATTTTATCAATGCTAATACAACCATATATTAAATATACCACTGTGATAAATGCAAGCGTTTGTGCTTACAGGGAAGGGTTGAACGTGACATGGTGAACTGGTTGAAGCTCAGGACTAGCTTTTAGTTTTTGAAGAGGGCTAGACTGGCTCTCCGACAGGTCATATATCAAAACGTATCCATCACCTGTAAACATGAAATCCAACCTCTAGAACGAGAGTGTGTCACCTTTCAAACAACATCATAACAACTAAACTAGTAATTCTACATAACATAGGTTATTCAAAATGAGCAATTATTCTTAACTACTGGATCAGGCCCTACTGATTTCACAGGTATTACATATGACAAAATGAATCTATGTGGAGAGGAGATGCAGTTCAGTCACTGGTCAACAATCAGAGATATAAGGACGATCCCTTACTACCATTAAAAGAAAAAAATGCACTCACCTGTATACAAATCAATAAAGCATAATCTAATATATTATACTATAATAACTCATACTGGTGAGAGGGCGTTTAAAGCAACTCTCGACAAAATGTTGTGGACTAAGACGCACAGGAATAGGACAGTGATTACAGCGAGTGAGTAGGGCTGAAAGGGGCAATTGCTCTATTACTAGGGAGGAGGAAGTGAGAGAGGAAAGTGACAGCAAGACACACAAAGACAGAGAAGGAGGGTGGGGGAGAAGAATGGGGGATTTTCGATTACTAAAATATGAGCTGTCAGTTAATTAGGAAGTAAAATGTGCCTACTAGACAGGTGCCCCTTCTGAATTCCCAATAACGTTACTTTATAAAACAAGTGCTGCAGAGCGACAGGGCTCATCTGGTGTCTGGTGTTCTGCTGATAAATTCATTTGTGCATAGCAAGACGTCCTATACATACGTTCATTTCTAACCCAAAAAAACAACACTTCAAACTAGTGTAATAAAATTCCGATAGATGGCGGGCCGCTATCAAAAGCATCGTTGCATCGATCAGCCAAAGCATTGCAGCAATGGCAGCTGTCAGTGTGACAAACTCGCAGCTAGGGCCTGCATACCTCCCAAATCCCATTGGTTGATACAAATCACGTGACTGAAACTCCTGTTTTAATAAAAATTTTATGGCGCATTGTGACCCTAACCCTAACCCTAACACTAATTACAATTTAATTCAAAAAATTAACTATATTTGTATCAATCAATGGGAGTTGGGAGATATGCAGGCCCTAGCCGCGAGTGTGTGACGACGGATTGCAAAAAGCAGGAGCGAATAATTACCATATTATTACTATACATAACGTGCGTTTTATGGTGTCAGGTAATAAATAGCTCAATGGTTGATACAACCAGAGCAGCTCGTGCAAGATTACAATTTACAGCAATACGATAGCAAATATCTGTAAACTAATTTCAGTACAAGCTAGGCCAGTGATTAGTGGACCAAATAAGCTCAAGAACGTACACACTTGCGTCTATATTGGTGCCAAAATTTGATGAGAAAATTCAGTCTGGGAAATCCGCAGCCTCACTCCTGGGTAATTATTTGAGTGCTACTGACTGTATTCCAACTATTCATAATGTACACTACAGAATCTCATATATAAGTCATCTCATTATATCCTAAGTAAGCGTTGTTCAAGTAAGAGTTATGTGTGGAATTTCACTGTAAAATGGGAGCTTTCCACAACCACAGGTACTCGCCAACGCAGTGAGAAACAAATCAATGTTTAACCCTGCCCTCTGAGGGTCAAAAGGTTATCCGACACTTACTCTTCGTGTCATGTCAGCAGTAAAGTACATTCATGGGTCCTTTCAATAAAGCCATTAAAACATGCTAGGTTACCCGCTGACAAAAATGTTTTCAATCGCTCCGTCAGACCATGTCCTCAGAAAATGTATAAAATCTGCCCTGGTGGCTCCATTGACCTGTGAACCTCCAATTTTGGCAGCAGTGATGGCTTTTCCTACCGATGATGCATAACACCGACTAATCAACGAGCCTAGGTCGAGGCCGTTTAGATTTGTGCCGCAATTCTGCCATTTCCTCCCTATCCCTTAAGTTAAGGAAGGAATGTATCCCCTTCTTTTACACCTCTATGACGCTTTGACATTTGACCCCCAGCTTCGACATCCAGCAACTCGTTTTCGATTACCCCCGACGTCCCGACTTTCGAATCCGTACGTCAAGCCGTTTAGATTTGTGCCCACTGTTGACAGATGCACCACGGCATCGGCCACGGACACAGCTGTCGTCACTCTGCGTTCGTACCAAGCTGCATCTGACTATGTCAGATGCGCTAAAAAATTGGGGAGGGGCAGCGTAAGAAAGAAAAAGTCAGAGACAGAGACAAGGAGAGAGAGAGAAAGAGAGAGTGGAGTGAAGGGGAAGAACTGGTAGAAGAAGAAGGGGAGAGAGACTGACAGAGGGGGAGGGAGGGGGAGGGAGAGAGAAAGTGAGAGAGACAGAGAGAAAGAGAAAGAGAGGGAAGAGAAAGAGAGAGAGAGACCAAAAGAAGGAAAGACAGAGAGAGAGAGAGAGAGAGAGAGGGGGGGGGAGAGTACCTGTAGCCACAGCAAAGGTGAGTGGCTTTGAGTAGGACCAGACTGCAGAGTGAAGATATCCCAATGATGGATCTGCAGAAAACACAGCCGTGTTCTCCTAAACAAGTAAAAACACATTAGTAGCCTAGAACCGAATCACTAGCAACGACACAATAATATCCCATACATACTACAAAATTTGATACTATATCACTAGCCCAGGCCAGGGCTGGGTGAAATGTGTGCTAATTCGCAGCGTACAGACAAACAAGAGCCGCAGAGCGTCTGGGCTCATCTGGGCTAATCCCTATCTCACACTAAATTGTGTGTGTACGCAATCCCGGGCCAGGTACGGGCTATATTTCTAAACATGCACACACATAGCCTTGTTTGGGTTTCATAAAAGAACAGTAGCATCTGAAATTGTATCTGAAATTTTGTTTTTGAGGTTCACTTCACTAGTGTATACTCATATAGTGTAAACAACTTGGTTCATATAATGGCCAATCGAGGTAATAACTGGGACGACAACGAGGTAAAAAGTCTGATTACATTTTTGCAAGAAGAAGCTATCCAGAATGCATGGGAGGGCAGACATAGGAATGTGCATGTTTACTCTTCCATTGCTGTTAAAATGACTCAATTGGATTTTATTCGGATACCCAAATTCTCATCACGCCGATTGTCGCCTCTGATGTGTATTCGGTCACCTGTTAATATTCTCTTCTTCTGTTATTAAAACACAGTGCAAATCTTAATAATGCCATCGGCAGTGCTGTTGTTTAGCTCTCATTCGCACCTGCTACGTGACATAACCCGCTAAACGGAACATGCACGTCTGGCCCAGGCCTGGCGTGGACTAGCTTGATGTAAGATCAAATTTGCAGTCTGCACAGTCTGCCCACCTCAATTCGGGGGTGGGGGTAACCTAGTCCAAACTAGTCCATATTTAGTCTGGGACAGCAAGTACACACTGAAACAAATTAGTTTTATTATAAATATGGATAAAGAACAGTGTACACGTAACGATTAGAGGTTGCCGTCGTCTCCCCCGTTTCTACCAAAACCCGCCCTTTTTAAATCGTCAGCATCCCCGCCGCGACCTTTTTAGACTTAAATTAAATTATGACGCGGGTAATGGATACAATGACCGGTCGCGACTAATGTCCGATGGTACCAGGTAGGATCGTCGACCACCGTTGACGTTGCCTGCCTAATGATGGCCGTTTGATAAACCGCGTCGCATTCTTGTTGAAGTTAATGTGTTCGTACAATTCTAAAATGTATTCTGTCCACGCTGAATTATGTATGCTCTTAATTATGTAGCTAATGTAACCTGGATCCATCGCCGGGCGGGTCTCCGAACATTTGCATTACTAGTGTGCCAAATTCCCTATGTCTCTATCTCAACGCTAAAACGCCGTACTACAAATGAATTGTGATTTTGATGATTTTATCACATATCTGCCGGGCTAACCCTGGCACGAACTGGTTAGTAATTACACCTGTATGCATATATGTACACATTCACGCACACACACACACACACACACACACACACACACACACACACACACACACGCACGCACACGCACATGCACACACGCACGCAGGCAAGCGCACACGCCCAAGCACACGCACACACACACGCGCGCGCGCACACGCACACGCGCACATGCGCACACACACAGGCAAACTCCCGCACGCGCATGCACGCACACACACACACACACACCTTGGTCAACATCCGTTTTTTTCAGATAGGCACGACAACAAAAATATGCTACATCAATATGACATTCAATTCATGTAACAGCATTAGAACGAAGACACAATTCACACATGTACACATGCACGCGCACGCGCGCGCGCACACACACACACGCACGCACGCACGCACGCACGCACGCGCGCGCGCGTGCATGGACATGCACACTCGCGCACACGAGCACACACACAGGCACACTCGCGCACGCACATGCACGCACGCCCGCACGCACGCACGCCCGCACGCACGCACGCGCGCGCACGCACGCACGCACGCACACACACACACACACATACACACGCACACACACATCTTGGTCAACATCCGTTTTTTTTCAGACATGCACGACAACAAAAATATGCTACATCAATATGACATTCAATATTGTAACAGCATTAGGACGAAGATGTGCACATCCACACAATTCCGCATGAGTGTGCTTCTTCGAAAAGGTCACGACAGGCCTCCAACTTGGTTGGAGCGACCTGCATGTACTGACCTGCTAGCATTCAACATAGAGTATGCATATGAGCCACAAACAAGTGAAAATCTGGCTTTGCAAGACGAGATGAACAATTAACCTACCTGCCCCAACTTGAAAATCTTTACGGTGCCATCAAAGCTACATGTCAAAAGCAGTTTACTGCTGAATGGCGAGGTAGCAACAGATGAAACGGCTCCTTTGTGTGGCTCGAGGGGGATTGTAACAAGTGACATGAGTTCAGAGTCAATTCCACTTCCTTAAATGATACATTAGACTGAATGACAAAGTAATTGTTGACGGTTACATTAACCAAGTCTGTTACTATAACTAAACGTTCCCCCAATTTCTTGCAAAAACAGAGAAAATTTTTGCTCTTGTAGGTCAACACTGACAACAGTACATCCTGACATACACAGCCCCTTTGGCTATTCCAATCAGTAAGTGATAGCAATTAAAAAAGTCGTATTTACTACCAATATTTTAACATTGATGTACTCTATATCCCCTAATAAATGCCGAGGTAAGTGCTTTCCTATAGCATACCTGATTTCTGCATGCATGCTAGTGGACAGACGAACAATTGATAGGAGATATATAGAAGATAAATGTGAGAGAAATGAAAAGAAAAGAAGAGGATAGTAAGACAAATTGGAGAAGAATAAAGGAGAACAAGATGGATAGAAGAACAGCGTGATAGAAGAGAAGAGGAATAGAACACACACCGCTTGTGTAAATATGCAGTGTTATGCATTTGGCAACATTGTATGTTGCTGAGCATTTGAACAGCATATAAGTGAGTGCTATATAGTAAACATAATTTGCTTTACTATATTTTTATTTTGAAATGGCCAAACTGCCAGTGCTCATATAAAAGTATAAAGGATATTTTGTGCATCAAAAAAACACAAACGAAGATTAAAAAGAAGACAAGAAGATTAACGAAGACAAAAGAAAATTAAAAAAGAACACAACAAACAATAACAAAGTTATCTGAAACCTTTCCATATGAAAAATGCAGCTTTTGATTATTTCGCCCCTGGCCGTTTACTCTTGATGTTTTACTACGGGTTTGTATTTCTTCTTCAATTATCATAATCGCAGTTCATCAAGTGTTTATATCTCAAAAATAACTTCGAAAGGCATTTTCTTTCAGCAGATTTTTAGACAAAAATAAAAGTTCACAATTCATCTTGTAGGCCTAAAAGGTCACCAGACAACTTCACCTCCATATCACGTAAAATTGATATCATAATTATTTTTAATAAAATTACGAAAAACCAATGTTAGAGTGATGAAATAAAAACGTTCCTCATAGAATATGCTGAAACACGTCCAAGAAAATATTCCAGATATTTCTGCTGATCTATATTTTTCACACTGTGGAGGACATTTATCGCTGTACCTCTAAATCGAAGTTACAACAGGCATAGACAAACCAATTTATAATTCTGTAAGGTGCACAACCAAAGTCTCACACCCTTAATGGTGGAGGAATAGCCCATTTGCCTACTGCTGCATGACTTTTGGCATACGATCCTCATTTTCGCGATGCTCTTTGCCTACTGCTCCTACATGCTAAAAAAACTGCTGCTATATATTATGCTAAATACGAGTTATATCAGGAGTAGATAATAGGGAGGAGTGTGACATCAATAAACAAGGGAAATTCGTCATTTACTAGCCTTATATAAAAAATACCTACGATTTACTACGCGTAAATCATCCAACCTATCGGACACAGTACATTCGCCCATCATCGTACGAAATCGTTTCCTCGTAGACACCCGCAATCCG